AATTCTTTTTTTTTTTTTTTTTGGTTTTTCGAGACCTATCCTGGACTAGCTCTGTAGACCAGGCTGGCCTTGAACTCACAGAGATCCGCCTGCCTCTGCCTCCCAAGTTCTGGGATTAAAGGCGTGCGCCACCGCCGCTGCCGCCACCACCACCACCTGGCTTTATTTCAAATTCTCCATCTCCACTGGCTCCTTCCCCTCCTGTCACCACTCATTCTCGCCTTCCATTCACCAGTCTTCTTTTACTTTACTTCTCCAGCTTCACCCCCATGGGAATTACCTATTCCACTCTGTCACCTCCTGAACTCTTTCCGAGTCCCCCTGTGATCGATCCACTAGTTGTTAAATCCAAACAGCTATCTTCTGTCTTCAGGGTACTCACGGCACCTTACCCTCCTTACATCTCGCTACTCCTAGAAATGCCTCTTTGACGTCAATAACTCACTGCCTCCTGCCCTGCTGCCCCCCAGGTCATTTCTTCTCAGTCTCTCAATGGCTCATTTCTCCAGCCACCATTAAGTCCAGATTCTACAATGCTCTTTCCTTGGTCTTCTTTTGATCTGACTTTTCACCTTCTCTCTGGGCAATCACAATCAGTACTGGTAGTTTCCTCATGCCATTTACCTTAAATTGTATTGCTAACTCTACCCTCTCCTTGCAGTTCCAAACTCGTATTTACAACAGCTTCCTGGACCTACTCTGGAACATTACAAAGGTACATATGTCCCAAAGAAAACTCTTTACAATTGTCCCATATGCTTAGTGGTGTTGTCATCTAGTTTATCTTCCTTACTAGACATTTCAGGATTTCCATTGTCTAAGTTCTGCACAAAGGGCCCAGGGACAAACACCCAGAAGTCCCAGCTTCTCCCTTCTCCCTGCACTCTAGCATCTCCTACTACCACAATGACCCCATGACCTGCCCTCCAACGAGCCTTGTCTCTACCTGAGGAAAAAGTGAAGCTTAGCTTAACTACTTCAAAATCTCTCTACTGCCGACTACAGGATACTTTCCAAACCCTACGTTAGCCGGGCCAGTGCATTCCCATTTAGGCCTACGTTACCATCTACTCTTGCCTAACTACACAAACCCACCAATGGCCATTTTAATTTCCCCATTGTCACAATGAACTTCCCGCCATACACTCCAAGCCCTGACCTAATTCTGCTCCCAATGCACAGGTCTTTACAGACCCGAGGACAGATAATATGCAGCTCAGGTGTCACTGCTGAGTACAGCTAGTCCTGCTTACCCTAGGCTAATTGATGTTCTCTTCCTGCTGTGAAACGCTCCATCTGTGTCACTGCATTTACCAGACATTTGTAAATTTACATACTTCCTACATCCGGGAGAGGCTCTTGGAAAGCAGGGGTCTCAACTTACACCTTAGTAAGCACCTCACATATCATCAAGTACATGTTAGGAGCGAGAGAACTGATCACTGAATAAACAGATTAATGTTCAACTTCTGCATGACTAATCGCTTTTTTGACAATGTTTTGGCGGCAGGGAGTACAAGTTTCTGTGTGTGTGTGTGTGTGTGTGTGTGTGTGTGTGTGTGTGTACTCCCATGTGGAGTTTTTGCATATCTTCCTTGATTGCTATCCACATTAACTCTAGGACCTCTCATTAAACCTGGAGCTCATCAATTCAGCTAGGCTATCTGGCCAATGAGAACCAGGGATCTATCTGTCTCTAGGGTTACAGATGCCAACCACCACATTCAGCTTTTATTTGAGTGTTGGGGATCCAAACTCAGGTCCTCATCCTTCAACAGTGGACACTTTATGGACAGAGCCATATCCCCAACCCCAAACTACTGGTTTCTAATGTTTCTACTCTGAACACCAGATAGGTCTTACAGAACAGGTATATCACATGCTCCTAAGCTCCTACTTCCATTTGTCAAAAATGGCCATCCCACTCTCCGTGTTCCAGAGGAAGGAATGTGTTTTCAATTTTAAGACACAGTTCAAACAAACTTCATTCAGGGTTGGGGAGGTAGCGCTGTGGCAGAGAAGTTGTCTGGTATATGGGGGGGGCTCTGGTCTCAATCCTCCACACTGCATAAATAATTAACTAATCATGTAACTTGGTTTAAATTAATTTAATAACTAGTTGATTAGTCGGGGGGGGGGGGGCTATTGGGTTTATTTTGTTTTAAATTCTTACAATACATTTGGTACTTGGTGAAAGTACACTATGATAGCATACTGGATAGTAGATAATAAAGTTGAAAACATCTATTCAAATGGATAAATAAACCAACGAAAATTCCTAGGCCCAAAACTTTAAGCACAGCTCGGCCCTAAATGTACTTCTAGGCTTACACATCATGCCCTGTACTCAAAATTTTGCCTAAGCCTGTCGTTGGCTGTGGCCAAAGCAAAAAGGTTCCTCATAATCACTAATTCTCAATAAATCCTTTGACATTTGTGGAAATGTTAGTGTTTGATATTAGAGAAGACTAAAATTCAGCAGTTAAGTGACTCACCAAAATCATATAATTAAGCAAAGCCCAGATTAAAATTCTGAAATCCCTAGCTCTTACATAATCTGACCACTTGGCCGTTACATGTAAGTCAGAAATATCGCCAACTAATAAAAAAAAAAAAAAAAAGTAATTTGAATAGTAGAAAGGCAATCTGAATGCTCAGGACTTGTAATAATCAAGTCACACTCTAAGGAAAGCAAAAACAGGAGCTGGGTCAGTAAAGTGTTGGCTAAAGAAGCAGGAGGCCCTAGCTCAAATCCCAGGAACCACCAGAGAAGGCAGGTACAAGCGGCAGACGCCTGTAGTTTCAGCACCAGAAAGACAGAGACAGGTGGCTTCCTAGAGCTCACTCTCCAGTCAGCCAAGCCTAATCGGGGAGCCCAGCTCCTAGCAAGAGACTCTCTCTAAAACAAGTTGGACAGCTCCGGAAGACATCTGAGGTCTCGTTGACTCCTAGCTTTCAAACCTGTGTGCACGTACATACCCACGCAAAAATAAAGTCTAAGTGATAATTAGTCAAAGCTAAAACATCTTCTTTCCCTTGCCCCTTATTCATTCTCTAACAACAACAACAAAAAAATTAACGCTTCAATTTTTGAAGGGATTCCTGCTACACAAATTTTATTGTGCAAACAACTTATGTCTAGCTGTCAAAAAAGTCTTTATACTATTCATCAGAACTTCAAATTTAAGGTATTAAAACTGAAAAATAAGGGCGGGGCATGGTGGCACACGCCTTTGATCCCATCACTTAGGAGACAGAGGCAGGCTTATCTACAAGTTTGAGGCCAGCCTGGTCTACACAATGAGTTCCTGGGCAGCCACATCTATGTGTAGAGAGACTATGTCTCAAAAAGTTTTAACTTTTAAATTAAAAAGAAAGAAAGAAAAGAAAAATACATAACGCTCTCTCTTTGGTTTAGAATTAAATCGCTCATAGCATGTCTTTCACTAATACCAATACAATGTGACTACTACATGTACAACCTACTTCTAAAGTATAAAAAGAGGCTGGTGGCTCTTGTATTTATATTCTGTTGGTATATGGTGTCTTTTATTAAACTCACTAGCCTCACCTTTTATAAAATCTGCTTCTTTGTGGACAGCTATAAAATGCGCTAAGACTTGCTCAAAAGTGTTTGGCGGCCATAGAAGTCAGCAAAGCACACGCAAACCCCCAATATTAACAGCCTTAAAAAAGAGACAACGGACAACCGCTAAGCCAAGAACACACTTCCTATACATAACACGCACCTTGCAAACGCAATATATTCCTGAAAGTTGCGTAAAGTGCTTTTTTGTTCCATCAAATGAGATTTTAAACATATTGTAGATGCTTTTTTTTGCTCCATCAAATCATATTTTAAATGTATTGTGGAGAATAATACAGAAGACTTGAAATGCCAATGAATCAAGAGTTACGGGGACCCTTTTTTTTGGCGGGTTATACATCTGGATATCTTCCCAGATGTGGGTATTAAAATGTATCCCGGAGTGTCCTCCAGTGCACCTAACCAGATAGACAGGATTTCCGCTATCCTTTACCGGCCGGCTGGAAAGTGGGGCTTAGCGGCGTGAATGACCTGAGTGCTGCAGGCCATCGGCTGGACCTGAACACTGCACAAATTACCCTGCTCTCCATTTAGTTGGGGTAAGGGAATGGCCACAGTGGAATGGGGCTTACTGGCATTTCGCTTGCCTTGTCTATCTTACTTTCAGTTATCTTTAAAAAGTAAAGACAAGTCACAAAAATACCAGCCTACTGATGTGGGGGGAGAGGGCACACGCCCTGTCCTCCCAGCACTCGGGAGGCAGAGGCAGGTGGATCTCTGTGAATTCGACGCCAGCAAGGTCTACACAGCGGGGCCCCTGTCTCAAACACAAAACAAAAGGCAGCTGTCGTAAGCACTTGTTCACCGGATCTCTACAAACACTGTATGTCTCCCTAAAGGGCCGCGACTCGGTGCTGGGGGACCTTGCAAACCCGAGATCATCGGGACTTTCTGGGAGCCAGGCTGCAGGCGGGTCCTGCTCCTGACTGATGGCGGGGTGGAGGGTGGGGGACGCAGCTGTCCGGCTCTCGGCGGTCACTTCCTCCGCTGCTGTGAGCGGCGCCTGTGTAGCCCACCCAGGCCCGGGGCCGCTCTCCTACCTGCTCCAGGGCACAGATCTCTCCTCACACCCACAAGCCCCTACCTCAGGGCCCGGGGCCACGCCATGCCACCTGACCAAACTTGACTGAGAACTTTCCCCGGCCTTCGCTGGGCTGCTAACCCCGCCGGGGCGCGCGCCACACAGGCCGCAAGCGCGGGTCCCCGGCCTGCGGCGGCGCCCCTCCCCGAGCCAGCCAGCCCGCACGCGCGGGGGCTCCATCCCGCGCAAAATTCCACTCAGAACCTGGGAGCAGGGCGGGACGGGGATTACTGGCGAGGGAAAAAGGAGAGGGAGAGAACCTGGAGCCCCCACCAGCAAGCCGTCCACTCGGCCGCCGCCGCCCCGCCGCCACAGCCAAACGGTTTCAAATCCTTGCGGGCGGATGGGTCGCTGGCGTCCAGCATAACCGGGGGCGGGACTACCGAGCTCGCCTGTCCCGCCCCCTCGAGCCCCGGCTGGCACTCAACGCGGTTGCCATGGCGACGCGCGGGGCTACGTCTGTCACTGCCTCTCACATCCGAGGGGGCGGGAATTCCGCCCTCCGGGGTGCCGTTGTCATGCCAGGGGCGGAGACTTCCCCACTGAGCTATTCCCCCACCCTGAGGGAAATGGTCACCCCCAAGCCGTTCCGTTGCTGTGGTAACTGTCTAGTCCACTGCGCAGGCGCCGAGCTCGTGTTTTTTGCCTATCTGGTCCTTGGTGCTTTACAGGCTTAATCTCCTGTGATCCCTGTAGTGTGGACACTGCTGCTTCCGGGCTTCCAACTCCGTAGTTGGTGAACACTTGAGAGACTGAGGAGAAACCAAGAAAAACTCAAAAGCGACGGAACTGCTGGACAATGTTCACTAAAAAGCCTGTTTGTTGTTTGAACAGCCACCAACCGTTGAGTAAGTCCAAAGCAGGGAGAATTTACCCTTGTTAGCTCACACTCCAGAGGTGAATTATTCAGGACAAGGAGCAATATATTTTCATTCGTTATGTGGAAGTATCATAAGTCTGAAAACACTACCCCTGAAAGATGCTGAACTGAAATTAAAAGGCTTTCTGTCTACCGCTCTACAGAATCGTACCATCAACCTGGGCGGGGCGCGCGGGGGGGGGGGGGGGGGGGGGGGGGGTGTGGGTGGGGGGGGGGGGGGGGGGGGGGGGGGGGGGGGGGGGGGGGGGAATGGGGGGATGTATTTTTGTGCTTCCCAGGAAGTGTCATGGGCCTCAGGGCAGTCTACACTGCTGTGTGCTGGTGTTCTTTGATCTTTCACGTTTCTGGGACCTCTGAACTATGTGCTGTAAAATACCAACAGAAACAAAATTTAAATTGTAAGAACACTGCCTTAAATTCAGTGTGCCACTGTTTTTTCATCTAAATTCACAACAGAATTCCTTCGGCAGAATCATTGCGATACACATAGTGTGGTGCCAAAGCTAACATAATCACAGCTTGAAACATCTTTTCAATTTTCCATAAGGGAAATAGAAGAGTCCCTTGTTTATAATTAGTATTTTCGGCTTCCAGAAGGAGACTCTTCAAGGTGCACTTTCAAATCCACCTCACTGGAGGTAAACACCAACAGTTCTTCATTGTTTCAGAGGCAAATTGTGCTAAAGAAAAGAAGGAATGAAGAATGCTTTCAAGAATATTTGGTTTCCAAGAGCATATTTGAACACACTAACAACTGAAGTATGACCCACAGATCATTTGCACCGAGAATTAGATTGTAAAACCCACATATGCAGAAATGTGACTAGTCAGAGACCATGGAATGTAAGAGGTGGAGCTTACAAAGGACCAAAGGATACGGACTTCCCAGTAGGAATAAGAAATTCAAGAGTCCAGCATGGTGACTATAGGCAAGAACTGTGTATCGAGCTTTTTGAAGGGCAATTTTTAAGTTATATTCATGTAAGGAAACTTAGCAGTGTACCGAGTTAACCTAGTTCAGTGTTGAGTTCTTTGGCCTTCGCCTTTTCCAGTTTGTCAATGCAAGCCATAGATTTTGACCCAGGAACATCGTCACCCCGGTAGTGGTAGATCTCATTGTATCTGTCATTGTAATTGGTCCTGATAGCTTCCACCGGCTTAGCTAGAGTGTTTGTCTTCTGAGTTAATCTGCATGATGGTAACAGAGGTGCTAGTCTTCCTGTGAACCAGCCATCCCAGCCTGGCCTTCTCTTTGATGATGCAGTAGGGGGTCCCCATCTTGTGACACAAAGCAGGCGGGAAGCCCACCACTCAAATGGGGTCTACACTTCGTGTAATCACCAAGAGCAGAGCTTTCTTATTGTCTACTGAGGTAGTGACTGTATGGACTCCTACTCAAAGGACCGGTGGTCTCTTCGTGGGGACGTCCCCTTTACCAGCAGCTTTCTTCTCAGCACGGGCTGCAGCCTTAGCTTCTTCTGCTTTGTCTATTCCCTGCACTGTTGGGCAAGCTTAAGCAGATGGTGACTGTGTGGTGGTCCAGGGTCTGGGTGAACTGGTTAATCACAGGAGGGACTTTGGGCTGCTTATAAATGATAGTTCTTTGCTGTTGTAGCTGGATGGAACAGGGCCATTTGACAATGTGGGTGATGTAGATGAATTTCTAAACAGTCTTATTAAATAAGAAATACAGAGCCAAATACAGAGGTAATAGCCGGAGAGATCAGAGTGAATAGCCACAACTAGCCTTAGCTTACCACCACGCAGTAACTTCTACAGAGAGAGCTTCTTCTTGTCTAAACTGTGCTTTTATTGCCTTCCTGTTCTGCCTTTTCATTGGCTCTAAACCCAGCCACATCACTTCCTTGTCACTGCCTGTCTATACAGACCTCCAGGTCTCTACTGGAATTAAAGGCGTGTGTCACTATGCTTGGCTGTGTCCTTGACCACACAGAGAGTCTGCCTGCCATGTGATCAGATTAAGGGCGTATGCTACCACCACCTGACTTCTGTTTATGGCTATGACCTCTGATCTCCACGCAAACTTTATTAACATACAAATAAAATATCACATTTCAGCACAAATGAAATATCACCACAAGGTGAGGTCTCTTTTGGTCTGGGTGTCTTGTCCAATGCTGAAGTTCTTGGGCCTTTTTTCATAGAAGTCACAACTTTTTTGGCCTCCTGCTTCTTCATGATGGAGGGACAGTGGCTATCTTCTTCCCCTTGGCCATTTTTACTTTGGGCATCATCTTTGGCTGGAGGAGAGAGTGTATATTATATTCTTGAAAATTCCGTTCAAGGTATATTGCTGTAAAGTTCTCCTTGTAAAATGGAAAAGTACATGAAATAATGTATATGTTAACTTGTTCAAGTTAACCAGTCCAGTCCATGTTGCATGCATATTTCAAAGCATTGTGTGGTACCAATAAATGCATATCATTTTTAGACTATAAAAAAATACACAGGCTGCAGAGATAATCTAGTGGCTAACTGAGTGCTTGCTTGTACATGAGGACGAGAGTTCAGATCCCCTAACAGGTGGGTGTGGTTCCCACCTATAATTCCAGCACTCAGAAGGCAGAAAACACATAGCAAAATGACTATGTATAGATGAGCTCTGGGTTCAAATGAGACAACGTGGAGAGTGACCAAAAAGGATTTCCGACATCAGCCTCAGGCACACGCAAACACACGCACGCACGCACGCACGCACGCACATGCAGTCACTTCACATACACATATTTTCAAAGGGGGCAAGAAGAAAAATGTAATCCAGTAAAGTTCAGAGGAAATGAGGGAAGGAATTTTACTCCCTTAATATCTACCCTCAAATCTCTCCAAAAATAACTCTTGGAAAATATTAATGTAGACCAGAATTATAATAGCACATTTTTCTTCAATGTGAATTTGTCTAGTCATTTGAAGGACCATGAGTAATAAACACACTGAAAAATACATGGCACAAAAACAAATGTTACTGACTCTGAATCACTGCAGTGCAGTAGATTACCAATTATTTCCATTGTTTATCAAAAATAATCAAGACTTAGACATAAACAGAAATGGAGTTTTATTCACTAAGCTAAGAATTTTCAATTGCATGTTTTTTTCAGATTTTGTATCCATGTTATTGTAGGTAAATTAGAAAGTACTGAGATCTTTAAAGAAGAAAATTAGTTATAGTTTTACCATTAAAAATTAACCAGGATTGGGGCTGGGGCAGTGGTAGCACACACCAGCCTGGTCTACAAAACAAGTTCCAGGACGGCCAGGGCTACATATAGAAATCCTGTTTTGAAAAGCCAAAAAAAAAAAACAGTAACCAGGATTCTAAACGGGGCCTTATTATCTGACCATATGGCTATAACATAATTTGCTTAATTTTCTCCTATAGTTACTAATTCTGATTCTCACAACATTTCTGTAATAAAAGGCTTTCTTGAAGTCTCAGTTACCCAGTTACCTCCATATGAGAGATTTATTTCATGTATGTGTAGGTACATGTATGTATATGTTTGTGTGCATGTGTACAGTATATGAAGAGGCCAGAAGTCAATGACGGGTACCCTCCTCACCTGAGTTTTTGAGACAGTCTCTCACTGAATCTGGAGCCTATAGATTTGATGAGATTGTCAGCCAGCCCCAGGGTGCTGTCTACTCCTGCCCACCCCCACCACCCCCAGTACCGGGGTTATAAGCTCCTGCACCTGGCTTTTCTGTGGATAGTGGGGATCGAACTCCAGTCCTTGTGTTTTCAGGGCATGCACTGTATTGACTTAGCCATCTTTCCAGCCTATATAAGAGATTTTCAGTGGACATAAGAAAGCATTAGGGCCTTTCCCCAAATTACTCCAGACTTACTTTGCAAATCTGTAAGGTGCACAGCAATCTAGGAGACAGTCAGAGTCACATTAACAGCTTTTTGGATCTGTGCAATTTGTGTCTTTTAAAAAAATGTATGACTTTTTAATTTGCATTTCTACTCTTTGAAAATGTTAATGCTTCTTATTAGCCCCTTTTAGTCTTCCATGGTAGACTCTCTTTTGCTCTTTGCTCATTTTTGAGGAATTTGACACGAGACAGTGGTGGTTTGAATGAGAATGACCCCATCGGCTCATATATTTGAATGTGTGGTTCCCAGGTGGTGGACTGTAGGAAGAACTAGGAGGTGTGTTCTTGTTGGAGGAGGGAGGTGTGTCACTGGGAGTGGTCTTTGAGGTTTCACAAGCCCACATTGCCAGGCTTAGCCTCTCTCTCTACCTGCTGCCTGTAGATCAGAACTGAAAGCTCTCAGCTACTACCCCAGTGGCATGAGACACACACCCGACCATGATGATGATGAGCTAACCCTCTGAAACTGTAAGCCAGCCCCAAATTAAATACTGTCTTTCAAAAGAGTTGCCTTGGTCATGGTGTCTCTTCACAGCAGTAAAACAATAACTAAGACAGATAGACTGACAAAGATTTTCCACATTTTTAAAAAAGAATTAACTAGCAATGGCTCTGTACACTT